CCACGCCTTCGCTCTCCTACTGGTCGCGGTCCTCGTGTTCGGAACGCTGGCTCTCCCTGAATCCGACCCACACTTCGGTCGGCGCTTCGGTCGGCGATACGGACGCGGCTTCGGGGGATTCGGTCGGCCCCTGTTCGGTTACGGACACGGTCTCGGCTATGGATTAGGACACGGGCACGGATACGGAGGCTATGGAGGATACGGCGGGTATGGCGGATACGGCGGGTACGGAGGTTATGGGCGTCCGTACTTACACTACGGATAAGCAGGATCGGAATAACGGACCGGAAGGGATGCGCTTCTACGAGAACGATCGGAAAGGATTCGAATTCTACAAATGTTTATAATGTTCTCTGATGCTTATTGTTTAAGAGACGGTGAGGCCAAGTTAGATGTGAGCAAATGGGTTTTGATTCTGTTGTATGAGCAAGACACTTATCAACTAAAGGTATTAATTACGTTTATGGTTTTCAAGAATTCATAAAACGGGGTCTAGAATTGCAAACGTAACACGGCAAAATCCGCCAGTTTTGTCACTTATGATTATCTCGGTGTCAAGGTATTCTTCCTCGGTATAAGGAATTTTTATGTTTTTTTTCAATACATTTCTTGAATAAAGTGATGATTTCAATAATGTTCTCACCTATGCCTCTTTGGCTGTAAATAATTTATGATAATAGTCTCAATAATGATAATGATGCACGTGATGATGAGAAGAAGGATAAGGATAATTTTAGGTAGGATAATAGTAATCGTAATAAAAAAGTAATGAAACTTGTAATTATAATAAAAGTAGTGAAATTAGTAATAATAATAACGATAGTAATGAAACTATTAATAATCATAAAAATAGTAATATTAATAATGATAGTAATGAAACAATAATAATCATAAAAATAGTAATAATAATAATGATGGTAATAATAATAATAATAATAACAATAATAATAACAACAATAATAATAATAACAATAATAATAATAATAATGAAACTAGTAATAATCATAATAATAGCAATAATAGTAGTAGTAGTAATAATAATAACAATAATAATAATAATATTAAAAATAATATAATAATATAAAATAATAATAAATAATAATAATAATAATAATAATAATAATAATAATAATAATAATAATAATAATATAATAATAATAATAATAATTAATAATAATAATAATATAATAATAATATAAAATAATAATAATAATAATAATAATAATAATAATCATAATAATAATCATAATAATAATCATATAATATCATAATAATAATCATAATAATAATCATAATAATAATAATAATAATAATAATAATAATAATAATAATAATAATAATAATAATATAATAATAATAATAATAATAATAATAATAACAATTATGATAATAGTGAACTTATTATAGTATCATAATGATAATAGAAATAATATTGATAATAGTATCAATGTTGATGATAGTGAGAATATTGATATCAATATTAATGATAATGGTAATCATTATATTCATTATCATAATAACAGTAGTAATGATAAGGATGATAATGATAATGGTAATGATATGATTATACTTATAATTAAATCATAATAATAATTAATAACAATTATAAAAGTAATAATAATAATAATAATAATATAATAATAATTATTATTATATTATTATTATTATTATTATATTATTATATATTATTATATTATTATTATTATTATATTATTATTATTATTATTATTATTATGATCATAATTAAAATAATATCAGTATAAAAAACAATAATAATAATGGTAGTGACGTGATAATGTTCACAATAATCCTATTCATCACAAAAACAACACTGAGATTAATGATAAAGGCCTGGCCACACCCACAGGCATAATCAGCCAATAAGGCTTTGTCAGAGCAAGAAAACGAGGACACTACATGTTTACCTTGTAGTTTGTCCGCCTGCGACGTCATCTCAATTCATGGCCACTTGTGTACAGGACTTTAAATAATGATAATTAAGCACTGTAACAAGTCATTTTACCTAATTTGCCTGAGTATATAAATATTCAGGATTACACCTAGATATGAACATTATTATAGAGATACATTAGGTCATCAAAGCTGAAATAAATGCCAAAAGCCTATTCTGTTGAAAAAGAAAACAGGACCATATTCACAGATTTTGGTAAATATCAAAAACTTGCTGCTATTCATTGTATCTGCTTCTTTCTGCTCATAATACAAATGTATTGTATAAACCGTTATTAAATAGTATTTTTGACATCTGATAATATAATCACCATTGCTATGTTCCTATAACTTGGGTTTTAGGGTTGAATACCTAATACAAAATTTATTACTGCTGTCACTATTTGCATTTTCATTTTCAGTGCATTTGTTATTATAATTCTAAATAATATTTCCTTTTATTTTCCTGTCATACTGAAAAACTATTCTTGTCATCATTATACCTTACTTTTTATCAAATATATTTATGACATCAGCATAGGTTACAAAAGAGCTTTTACGTTCCACAAATGGTATATTTTGACTGTAGCAACATCCCAGGACAGGAATGGAGCACTATTTGGCAACAGAAGTACAGCACAAATGAGTAAAAATATATCAAAGGATTACAAAAGGGCATCTTCATAAGTAGGAAATTATCTAATTTTTTAATGGTGGGTCTGCCTGCCCACAATACAAGGTATTAAATAATATGTTTTCTTTGACAACACTAATAAATATACACGTATTGTGAAACTTTGTCTTTCATTACCACCATGACCACCTTTGCAGACTTTTCTGTGGCTAAATTTGAGACACTTGTAGCCATGTGGAATCTTATAATAATATACTGTATACTTTCTAGCTTTAATGATTTGAACACACTTGAAGCCTGTTGTTTCACTACATGGAACATTTTTGAATGAGTAACAATAACAAAAAACATTTAAGAGAAAATTTACAAGATATGGTATCAAGTAGACATTTTCTGCTCTTAAAGAGGAGAGACTTTAGAATTATATGAATGTTCCATGAAGTCCCTCTTTTATAAAGATGACAAGTAAGATATGAGTGTTTGTCGAACATGATTATGGGTTAATATGAGGAAGAGATGGTGCAAAACTTTCTTTTCCCGGTGATCTGAGCTTGACTAGACGCACTCCTGCAAATAACTTAGCTCTTACATTCTTTTATAAATGATAACATTGGCAGTATTTTGATGACATAGATTACAAAGAAAAATACATGAACACAGAACAGCCAATTGATTAAATAAAACAAAAAACAAAAATATTTTCCAATCAAAATTATAAAGCCTATTTGAAAGCATGGAATGCACCAGCACTGGTGTAAGCTCACGACAATGACTGGCAGACAAGAATATATCAGGTGAATATTTCCAAGCTTTCTATGAGTATTTACTAAACATTTTATACTGTACCATTTCACACAGATCCTTTCCAGACACACCTTTAAACTAAATACTTCTTGCCCTATAGAAATAGTCACTCTTGTGGTCTTATTTACCTGCACAAGCATCAAAACTGATGACTTCTGTACATTATTGCCTTGTCTGTGCTACAACATCAATAAATAAACACACTCAGTAATACTGCTGAGGTTCAGTGTCTATTAGTTCCTCCAAGTAGGTGCCAGCTTTACTCAATTGCAAAAAAAACAGCTTTGTACAAGAAATTGTCATGATTTTAAATACAAAACAGACAAAATAATTTTTTAGAATAGAAGCATGGCCTGAGTTTCTAACAATAAATACAGTACTGCTTCACAGCATTTTCAAAATAGGAGGACAGCAAGCTACTTGTTACATCAAAATTTGGATAACCCAATATCATAAACTGTCAGAAATAATATTTCATCATGATTTCTCTACTTTTAATCTACTCTCTTTCCTAATGGCTATCTTAAATAAGTTACCATACCTGCTCTTGGATAATATATGTAACATTGTCTGTCTTTGAAAATTAATTCTCTTCAGGTAAAATAAATAATGAATGAAACTGGCACACCAAACAGGCTTACCAATTCACCAAATCAATGACACATACACTTAAAATGTTTATATATATATATATATATATATATTATACATTTTTTCCCCGCTATCACTGATTGCATAAGTAATAAATATAACATTTTCATCTTTAAACAAAACAATAATAATAACTTCATATATTCTCCATCAGCATCAGAATTCACCAGAAAATTAATAAATACTCGAAGATGTAACCATAGGTCTCTGTACACTGAGGTTATCTGCGACACTTTAATCAAGTGCTTCTTCGACTTCCTTCACATTGATGCCCTCCTCATGGTAGGCAGCGTCATGCTTGGCCAAAATTCGGAGGAGAGGACGCAGCTTCAGCCACCATTCATTTAAGGGAATGCGACGGTCCCAGTCTGTCTGGCGTTTGAGCTCTGCCACGGGCTGGAATCTGCAAAAGTAGCCAGTAAGATAGCAGTCACATAATGGTTATACCCAGTTAGAGTTTTAGTAAAGTAACAATTGCTTATCTGACCAGTATTCATCAACTGGAGGCATGCTACTGCCTATATGACAGGATCATGGTTATAAAAAACAACAGTCAAATACATGACCATAAATTTTAAGAAATAGCTGTGCTAAGAAAATGATCACATATCCATAAAATTTATACATCATAAATGGATCTTAAATACATAATATAAAACAACACATATGAATAATAAAAAAAAAACAGATTCTGCTTCAACAAAAAATACAATTCATAACCATTCTATGTCTGCATCACACCCAATTTAATATGTGTTTGTTTACTGAACTTACTGATATACTCTCTTCTGCAGACCAAGTAATACTGCTGTCGAAGCCTCATCACAGAAAACAGATCCATCTTGGCGACGATACTTAAGCATCTCCTCAGTCATCCAGTTGACAGCCTTGGCAGCCATCTTGGTGCCCATATTACGATCAAACACAGATGGAGAGCCACCCTGTTGCATGTGACCTAAGA